TGCTCAGGCACATGGGGCAGACCGTCCGGGTGGACGAGGTCTACGGCCTGATAGACATGGTGGATTTCAACAAGAACGGCACCATCTCGAGGCCGCAAATTGTACATGCCGACGGCCTGGGAAACCAGTGTGCCAGGATCCCCAGGAGGCAACGGATATTAGATCTCTTCGGTCCCCTAGGGGGCCCGATGCTATCCATACTGGGCCATCGGTCGCCAAGGCAGTGGATATGTGCAAGTTCTGGCCTCGGAGCCATGGACCCCGACGAGTTTTTAACGCTGATGACGCTCATGCGCGAGAAGGAGGTCGCCCACGCGCAGAAGATTTTCGACTCGCTGCGCGCAGGAGCCCCAGTTCTGCCAAAGGAGCAACTCGCGGAGGCCCTGACGCTCGCCTCCGAGAAGCCGCCGCTGCAGGCGGTGCTGGAGGAGATGCTCGCGAAGGCTGTCGCTCCGAGGGCGAAGTGAGACCGCTGCTGCTAACGTTCCCACGTCTCCTTCTTGGGCCTCCTCTGGGAGCCGCTGCTGCTAACGTTCCCACGTCTCCTTCTGGGGCCTCCTCTGAGAGGCCCTCGCCGCCACAGCTGGATTCGCCCCCGGAGTCCGGATCAGAGTGCGGCCCGGGGAGCGGCCTGGGCTAGGAGGCAGCGGGTAATACCAGCATGCTCTTGTTCCCCAAATCGTCGTCGTCGTCGCCGCCGTCGTCGTCGTCGTCGTCGTCGTCGTCGCCGCCGCCGCCGTCGTCGTCGTCGTCGTCGTCGCCGTCGTCGTCGTCGTCGTCGCCGCTGTCGTCGTCGTCGTCGTCGTGGTCGTCGTCGTCGTGGTCGTCGTCGTCTTCGTCGTCGTCGTCGTCCCCACCCTCATCTTGATTACACCCCCTCCAAGTTCAAATGACCCAGCGTTGAACCCCCAGTTTCCCATCTCGGGCGGGGCTCGGACAAGGATAAAACCGTTCCAGAGCGTTCAGGAACGCTCTCAGAGCGGTCCGGAACGCTCTGAGAGGGCCGCGGCGCCCGATACATCCTCCAGAGCCGCCAGATTTCCGAGATTTGATCTATCATAATCCGAATTCATCATCGGAGGACGAGGACGACGAGGAGGAGGACGATGAGGAGGAGGAGGAGGAGGAGGAGGAGGAGGAGGAGGAGGAGGAGGAGGAGGAGGAGGAGGAGTGCCCCATGCAAATGCCTGCGCCAAAGGTGACGTTCGACGAGTTCTGGGGCATGCCTGGGCGACTTCTCGGAGCAGGTCTTCCGCCAGATCGAGGAGATCTTCGCGGCACTCGGCGGGCCGCATGCGTCCATTCGGCGACCACATGCGAACCCTACCCCCACCCCCTCCACGATTTCTGAGGGAGAGGGTGGGGTCCACTTCGCTCGGGAGCTCCCGAGCGAAGTGCACCCCGCCTCCCCCCTCGGAATCCGTGGGGGGGTGGGGTGGGCTCCGCACGTGACCGCCTCTCCGTCAAGATCGGGGAGCTGATCGTCATGCTCTCCGGGTCCAAGTTCCCGGTGAACACGGCCCCGGGGCGCAGGTCGGGGGCGGAAAAGAGGGGGGTGATGACTAGGGGGGGGTGGATAGGATGGGTGGATATCATGGCGAGGGTCATGATATCTCCCCAGATCTCATGGCGCCCCTTCTTATCTCATGACGTCCCTGGCCCCCCCGCTGAGCCGCGCACATGCCGCCGGTCATGATTTGCACCCCCCCCTCTTGGACACCCCCCTCTTCCTCCTCCTCCTCCTCCTCCTCCTCCTCCTCCCCCTCCTCCCCCTCCTCCTCCTCCCCCTCCTGGCCGCTCCCGAGCAGGGACCTGCTGCGGCGGCTGGAGGCGGCCCGGGCGCAGGCCGTGGCGGCGGGCGTGCCGGAGGCGGAGCTGGGGCCCGGCGACGGCGAGGAGGTGGCATTCTACACCTGCGTGCACCTCGTCAGGTCAGCATCGTTTCAGCGGCCCCCCTCCCCATCCCTAACCCCTTCGAGGTCCTCTCGAAGTCACCTCTCGAAACCCGAAGGGAACGACCTATATCGTATATCCCCATCTAGGGGGGTAGATCGGCCAGTGGGGCCCAGGCCACGCCGCTGAGGATGGGGATCGGTTAAACGATGCTCATCAGGGGCATCGTTCGCGAGGCCGAGATGGCAGAGATGGCGCGCGAGGAGGAGGTGCTGGCCCAGACGCGCTTCACGAGCGACGAGGCCGCAGAGTTCCGGCTGGTGTTCATGGAGATCGCGCAGCGAGGGAGGGGCAAGCGGCCCAGCATTGGCCTCGGCGGTCTCTTGGACGAGCTCACGACCCAGCCCGCGATCGGGGAGCACGACATGATGAACATGCTCAGGACGATGGGCATGCGCGTGTCCCCGAACCAGTTGCAGGAGCTCAACTCCAAGATCCGCGAGGCGACCGCGTCTGGCAAGCGGGCGGGGGCCGAGGTGGACTTCGTGTGCTTCCTGCGGCTGATCTCGAAGAGGAAAAAAACGGCTTGAGCGTAAACTTTCGGAGGCCCGCGCGGATCTCTTGGAGCGGCGCTGGACCCAGCTCCGAACGTGTACGCTCATGTGCCGCTCCTTTCCTTCTCCGATGATCCACTGGATGCTCGACACGGACTTCGGGTGTTGCTAGCTAGAAGTGCCCCTGGCCCAAGGTGCCCCCCAGGATTTCCGAGGAGGCCCCCAGGGCCTCCGGAGCACCCCTCACGAGCCCCACGGGGCCCCAGGGGCTCCAAAAGGGAGCGCGAAGCTGGGGGCACCTTGGGCCAGGGGCACCTTCGGCAACCCCCCGAGGACTACGCTGGCGTGAACACCGCGGCCGCCCTGGCGTCTGCGGCGGCGCCGCCGGCGCCGAAGGGCGCGCCCCGCGCGCTGGACCGCTCGTCCCGCGTGCAGGCGCGTGCGCTCGTGAAGGGCGCGGCGTGAGCCCGCTGCGGCCTCGTGGGGAGTCGGCGGGTGGGGCGCTGCCAAGGATCTCTGCCCCTTGGCATCGCTTGGACGTGTGCATTTTTCCTTCGGCGAGGACCATCGAGGAGCATCCTTGATCATTTGGCGAAAAAAACCACGCACGAAACCGACAAAAAACACAGGGAATGGACGTCCGAGCGATGGCCAGGTCCCCACTCCCCTCTCCATCCCGATCCCCACCATCCCACCACCCCAGTCGGGGATACAGGTGGGGGCGCGCATCAAGAAGCCATCTGCTTTTCGTCAGGGCATCCTGGGCTTCTTTGCTCAGCGCGCTGCGCGTTGACTTCCCGCGGCCGTTGAAGTAGCTGCTGCGTTCAGGGTGCTCCAGGTTTCCCCTCAGGTGCACCTCGCGCACGGGTTCTCAGGGTTGGGTTTCTTGCGAGGGTTTCTTGCGGCCGCGCCCGCACTGTATGCCCCTCGAAGCCCGAAGGGAGCCGCCCATATCCCCATCTCGGGGGTAAATCGGCCGGTGGCCCAGGCCGCGCCAGTGGGGATAGGGATCGGTTAAACGATGCCCAAGTGCAACGTCAGGGGGGCGGGAGGGGCTCGCGGGGGAGATCGGCCACGCGCAGCAGGGCGTTTGTCAGGAGGGGAAAAAACACACAGACACAATTAATCGTCGATCCCCAAGAAAATATAGGAATGTAGGAAATTGGGCGGGAAGACAAAAGCCCAGAATATATGGGAAAATATGTGGAGCCTTTTTATCTGCGTGCATTCATTTGTGTGTCCCAGGGCCCCTTCAGTATGGGGGGGCGGGGGAGAGGCTTCTCGGACGCACCCCTGGCTGCCCAGGAGGCGCGGGCCCCGTGCCTGGACGTGTGGGGCCCGCGCCTGCTGAGAGGCGGCCTCCTCCTGAGAAGCCTGCTGGCCTCCCCCCTCTGCCCCCCTCTGGTGCGCTTCGCCAGCGGGACGCGTCGGCACCCCCCACCGCCCGTGGATCGCCGATGGCCGAGCCTTCGGAGGTCCGCGCGGACTTCTCGGGGCGGCGCCGGAGCCTCCTGGTGTTCAGACGGGCCTGTCCCCCATACAGGGGGGATTTTGGACGAAACATAAAACACACTCGAAACATTCTCCCAAAGAGTCAGAAAAACAGTCAACAAATAGTCGGGGGGACTATTCTTTACTATTTTTGAGCATTTTTGGCGTTTTTTTTTTCTTTCGAATGTTTGTAATTTGTCGCCCAAAGTCCCCCTGTAGGGGGACACGCCCGACTGCAGTCCTGGTGGCGCCTCCAGCGCTGCCCCGCGCCAGGGAGAGGCGTCCGGCTCCGCTCCGAGAGGTCCGCGCGGACCTCCACGAGGGTTTGTGCTCGCGCACCCGCGCTGCTCCTCCACGATGAAGTCGGGCCTGTCCTCCTACAGGGAGGATCTTCGACGAAACATCAAACATACTATATATATATATACACACACCTTAGGCGATGCTTAAGAAAACTTATGTTTTCGGCCAGAGTCTCGATTAATCCCTCATGTTTCAATGTAAATCCTAAGATTTTGCTTGAAATTCTGGGTTTTTATTCAAATTCTGAGACTCTGAATTTCTTAACCCATGATTTCTTAAGCATTTCGCATGGTGTGTGTGTATATATATATATATATATATAAATGTTCCAAAATGGCCAAGCAATATCTAAAAAGTAGTCCCCAGACTATGTTTTGACCATTTTTGAAGGTTCCCCCTGCAGAGGGACATGCCCGACTTGATCGCCGACGGGCCCGGCAGCCCCGCCCCGCCCCGGGGCGCGCGGACTCGCCGTCGGGGGGGGGGGGCCGTCGCCGACCCGTCGGCGAAGCGTCGCCACTCCAGCTCGGTGCCTCCGGACGTCCCCCTGCTTACCAGCCTTGAGCATATCCCTGTCCCTGTGCTGGGCGTCTCCTCGTCACGATGCCAATCTCAGGGATTCCCTTCTTTTTTCAGGGCGCATCCCTGAGCTTGTCACCGCCTCTTGGCGTGTCAATCTTAGGGGTAGGGATAAGTCCGAGGCTGGCAACCTGCCGGTCTGCCCCTGACCCCAGCTCGGTGCTCTCCCCCCCAGGGCCGGTCTGCCCCTGGGCCGTTCCCCCGTCGGCCGAGGGGAGGGGCGCCCACCGCCGCCCGTCGGGGCGGAGTGGCCGGGGCGGGGTCCATGGCAGGGGCTGGGCGTGGCGGGGCTGGCGGTGCGGGGGTGATCTCTGAGGCATCTGTCTCTCTCGCTCTCTCGCTTTCTCGCTCTGTGATTCTCGCTCTCTCTCTCTCTGTCTCACTTTCTCTCTCTCTCTATCTCTTTTCCCCTCTCTCTCTCTCTCTCGTTGCTCCTCTCCCTCTCTCTTGGATTGGGATTCGGAGGATGAGTATTGTTGCAACATTGAGGGGGGAGGAGGGGAGTAGGAGGGAAGAGGAGGAGGCGGAGGATCATCATGAGCATGATACGGATCATGAGTACCAGAGTCATGTCAGGTTGTGTCAGCCATTCTGTGCTGCGTCCTTCGTCCCGAGTCCTGTCCTCGTAAGTCGCTGTGGGTGTTCCGTTGCACTACGGGGAGCGTTTCCCCTCAATGATAAAAACGGTTCATGGCCGTGCCGTTCGGGCGAGACTGCTTTGAGAAGCAGCCGCCCATGACCCTTGCAAGATGCCAAGACGTAAGGTCACGAGTTCGAGGAACATGCTGGGCGATACCTTTGCGATACTCTCAAACGCGAAAAAGGTGCCGCTCTCCACGTGGCGAGCCGTTTCAAAGTCGAAGTACCAGTTTTCTATTATGTATGTCCATATGTACGCGTATGCGCTGTCTTGTAGCATGCATACACAGCACTATAGTTATATGACTGTTCGGGCGTGTACAGACAATGGGAACAAGGAGCCGCCCGCCGTTCGTGACCACTGTGTGCGGTTCGCCGGCGGGAGCCGCATGGTAGAATGGAGTTGCCCTTCATCCGTGGAGTTGTTTGGAGCCTGACGCTTACGAGTCGCACGTGGTGAGGGAGTCTCAGGGGAATCGCCCAGCCCATCCTGCCAACACGTCTGGATGGAGGATCATGACGAGGAGGGGTGGGATGAGGAGGGGTGGGATGATGATTATGATGATGATGATGATGATGATGATGATGATGATGATGATGATGATGATGATGATGATGATGATGAGAGGAGGATGAGGAGGAGGAGGAGGAGGAGGAGGAGGAGGAGGAGGAGGAGGAGGAGGAGGAGGAGGAGGAGGAGGAGGAGGAGGAGGAGGAGAGGAGGAGGAGTCGAAGAAGAACAACGCTATAAACATAAACTTTCGACGCTCCGCATTTCTTGGATCCGCGCTGGGCCCGCCAGGCGGCGCCTCCAGCGCCGCCCCTTGCGCTGCGCGCGCCAGGGAGGGGGGTCCCGCGCAGATCAGACAAATCCGCGTGGAGCGCCAGCAGTTTGAGTTTGTGTGTTTGTTTTTTGCTTCTAAAGAGGAGGGGCAGGAACAAGAGGAAGATAGGGAAGATGGAGGACGATCCGGATAAGAGTGGGGGAAGAGGAGCATCAGGAGATGTATGGTGTGTGCGCGTTCGGGTGGTGAGGAAGGACGAGAGGAGGATGCACACGGGAGGCGGAGGACGCACGAGACAGAGGGCGGGGGCAACGAGGCCCCCTGCGCACACACCCCTTCTGGGCGGGCAAGCAGCGCTACTACCGAGCCCGCTTTTCCCCAGAACGCTCTTACATCTGCCTGCTCCTCCCTCCTGCCTCTTCGCTCCTGCCTCCTGCTCCCTCTTGCCTCCTCGCTCTTGCCGCTCGCCTCCTCCCTCTTGCCTCCTCCCTCGTGCCTCCTCCCTCTTGCCTCCCCCCTCTTGCCTCCCCCCTCTTGCCTCCCTCTTGCCTCCTCGCTCTTGCCTCCCTCTTGCCTGCCTGCTCCTCCCTCCTGCCTCCTCCGCGCCTCCCGCTGTCCTCGGCCCCAGGAGCACGCGCGCGCGTGTCGGGCTCCGCGGCGAGCGGGGGCCTCCCTCTCCTCCACACCTCCCCCTGGCCTCTCTCGTCGCTCCTCCCTGCTCCCGCCTGCTGCCTCCGCCTCCCTTCTCCTCCTCCTCCTCCTCCTCCTCCCTCCTCCTCCTCCTCCTCCTCCTCCTCCTCCTCCTCCTCCTCCTCCTCCTCCTCCTCTTCCCCTCCTCCTCCCCCTCCCCCTCCCTTAGACATGTCCGGAGCAACGCATCCGCGCATGCAGGCATGCGGGCCTGTGTAGGGAAATGACGCCTCATTGGTGCCGTACGACGTGCGCTTCGCGTGCTCGATCTCACACGTGCGCAGGGTGCTAAAAGGGAGTTCGGGTTGGCCTTCAGGGCCCTGCCGCGGGGTCTGCTTCAGGGCCCAGCTCAAGCACGTGAGCAAACACACCCGCACGCTACAGCCACTTTCAGCGCACTTCCCCCACCTGCCCAGTTCCCCCCATGTGATACCATGTGCCTCGAGCCAGCGTTAAGTCGGGCCTGTCCCCCTACAGGGGTATTTTCCACGAAAAATAAAAGATACCCCAAACATAGTTAAACCATAGTCAAACAATAGTCTGGGGACTATTTTTGGACTTGTGTTTGACCTTTTTGGGATATTTTTTTGTTGTTTCGTCGAAAATCCCCCTGCGTGCTCGGACATTCCTCGTCGTCGCCACCATTCCTTTTGCACTGTTCCAGATTTCCTGCGGCAGTCGGTGACATTGCCACCCATCTGCTCAGCTTGTATCATTTTCACTATCTGGCTTTGAATAGGTTTTGTCAGCGTCTGTGCAGCTTTGGCCGCTGCTAGATTTGGGTCTTTTATGCTTTAGGTGTTTATTTCCATTATATTATGGTGGCAGGTGTTTCCGTCGCTTTCACTTTTCTACTCGCGCTACGTAGTTCCATGCCGAGTCATCATGGGAGAACCCACGTGACCTCGACTTGAGTCATTGCGCGGTGGGCCACAGGGCGCGGCGCTGCATATAACCACAGGATGCACCTCCTGGTAG